CAATTTTTAACACTCAAAAGTGAGCTAAATAATGAAAAATATGTTAGTAATTTTTAACGTTATTATTTACACTTGGCGCTCCATAAAAAGTACATGTTAATTCTGCATAATATTTTTAGCTTTTTTATTTATCTGTCCACTGTCCACACATTGTAAAAACTGTTATTTTTGTTAATCAGAATTGAATGTTTCTTGTAATGTTGAAAAAAACAGACAGATACTGACAGGACAGGAGTGGCTTTAATATTGGTAGGTGAACGAAGATGAAGGATTAAAGCTGAGCAGAAATCATGTATTTGATTTAATGTGCTAAATTAAAATTCAAATAGTYGACCTACTGACCTGACTATAAACCCTGCACAGTGCAGAAATCTGTGCAGCATTTATCCAATCTATTGAGGCTCATTTTGTATTTTCTCCAAAATAAAACAACCCCTATGCTGTGCTGGGAGGCCTATGTGCAATTAAAAAAGAGCTCTTTATTAAATGTAAATCTATCAGCAATTTGCAAGTAAAAACAACTCGGGGAAACACGATGCTTTCTTCTGGTCGTGATCAGTGCACACGGTGCTTTTATAAAAYTGATCCCTGACCAGTGTTTGTCTGTGCAGAAACTAAATGTGTTGGGAGGATGATTCAAACTGTTTTAAAAGGCTCAGGGAAAGCGTTTAAAATGCAGCKGATGCTTTACCAACTTCTAGAAAGAAAAGCCAGAAAGATTTTAACTCAGTATTACAAAGTCCAGCAGGATTCTGTGGTTAAACAAAAAATAAGTTGKGTGGTTCCTCCTGTTTGTAATACTTTAGACAAAAGWAAACAAGATAGTTTTCGCCTTGATTTAAAATCAAAACCTGTCCTGATGAAACTCTTCAAATCTAAAAGGGCTGACAGGTCACAGCAGGTTCAGCTGATGCCAGTCATCACTGATAATCTCCTGTTCTCCTCAGTAATAAGATCTCAGCTTCACRTGGAGACTTTAATGTGTCTATTACATATTTATGAGAACTGACTGCAGGATAATGTCTWAAGACAAAGCTGACAGGCAATCGTCAAAACAGGATGAACTTCAAGACATAAAAGCAAGAGCTCTAAGTGGTCAACACAGCCTCACCCTTAAACTATCCAATAAAACAGCTAAATGAGATATATTAAGCCGACAGACTTCATACATTAGCATGATTTACTGCATCTTCTTCTCTCTCTGSTTTATCTGTTCCCTTGTTTTCTTGCAGCTTTTAATTGGAAGAAAAAAGCTGCTGTGACAGTTGAAAATGCTGAAAAGCTTCTGTTTTTTTTTTCTAACTGTGAAAAATCTGTYCTGTTCTTTAAAGTCTGRCTTTGAGTTTGATTYTAACAGAAATGATAGTATAATTCCYAACAAGCTAACACTATTCGCTTTGGGTAATGAGAYAAATAAATTAAATAAATCAGCCATGATCCCATGAGCATGGCTAGACTRATGTCCAAATAAGTCTCCAGAGACAACATATCGTTTCAAAAGATATAAAAGTTAGAGTAGCCACAATTTGTTGAAGCTCATAAAAGAAAGAAATGTTTATTTAAAGTATTTTGACCTGATAATAGAAGCTGTGCTGCTCATTGAAGCAGACTGGTAATTTCCAGTTGTGCAAAGAACACCTGGAGTCCAGACCCTCTCTTAGAAACAGATAATTAGGGGGCTAATTTTAAAGTCCCTTATTGTTTAGAGTTAAATTAATAACTCACACGAAAAAACTTGCTGAGAAACTATAGCCTCATTTACCATGATTCTTTTAGCAGACCGATGAAACAGCAGAGTTTAAAATAAAGAAATTACAAAGTAAGGGTTATCAAAACACTACTAGATTTTAGTATGTCATTACAGAACATGAGGAGCCTCCCTGTTCTTTTTTTCCTACAGAAGCATCAAATCTCAAACCGCAAACACAGCTCAGAGCGGACCACCACGTTTGTCCYGAGTCAGCCAGCTGCTGTTTGACTTCTTTAAATCCTCACACAAACCGGAGGGTTTAAATGTGAGCAGAGCTCTGGGTGTGTCTGAGGCAGCCAGCCAGAAAATGAAAACCAGGCCACACAGCTATGGAAACATCTGTCCTCCCAGCAGCTCAGYGATGTGAGTGCACTGCCCCCTGCTGCAGGCGTGTGGTTGTACATGTGCATGTTGTTTCTTCTCAGTGTGGAGACAGCTGCTTCTGTGCAACAACTGCCTCCACACAACATGGAGGCAGCTGCTGCACAGGAGCTTTAGATGAACGAGAAAGACTTTTAGAACTGCGCCGCTTAATGTGGCAGCATGTGGAGTTATGTTATTCATTTTTAGTTATTCTTTTAAAAAGTATGTAATTCCTCTTTTTTATTTTTGGAAAGAAATTGCTTTTATTTTTTCTATTAAATGCCGTGCAGCTGGAAGATTTTTGTTAACATATTTTTTACTTTTGGACATTTGTTATGGTGTGTAACCATAGCAACATGGTAGTTTGTTATAACCGGGAGCAGCTGATAAAACCTCAAATAAGACCTCAACTACATCCTCGATTTCAGCCCCGAATCCCACGAGTTTAAAAGGAGGCCCTGTGGATGCAGACCAGGAACAAAGAGGAGAGAGAGAGAGGAGGAAGCTGAAATCATCTCTTCCATCAATCATGATGGGCAATGGGAGATCGTAGGGGAACAAGTTGGACAAACTCCAACCCCTAACAAGAACYCAGCCAGAGTATTGAGAATGCAGTAGTATATGTTTCACTGAGAGATGGCTGCAGGATTGTATCCCTGACTCCAGCATCTCCCTGCCAGGCTTTCTGACCAGATGATGGACAACCCTGAGCATCCTCTTCTTCAGACTGTCATACTACAACAGAGGGTCTTCAGTTAGAGGCAAGTTACAGCATTTAATTTTTAATTGAATTGGATTGAACTGAATTGAACTCCAAAGGTATAATCAAAATACACTTCTTTTCACGCTTCCTGCTTCTCCTCCTTAGTAAATGTAAAATTAAAGCTAAATTAAAAATCCTGTCTGTGCTCCTCAGAAGAGATTTTCTCTGACAAATTTGTAGTCTAACTTCATGTACCTATCCAAGAAATCTAAATGCTGATAGTTTGGTACAATATTGTCTGCTAAATAGTTATTAATTTATGTTTTACGATTCACATGAGGGAATCAACTTTCACTTCAATGGGAAATAAAATAGCAAACAACCTAATGCAACAGTTTCAGTTCAGGTGATCTACACCACCAATCAGGACTTTGGAAACCTGGTTCTGTCCAAGGTGGAGGTTTGGGAGGCGTCACCGTTGCTCAATCAAATCTGCGGCGACCTCTACGCCACACGCTTTGTCAGCGCCACTGTGGAGGAGATATTTTACTCTTCTGACACCACAACAGGGAAGGAGAGCTTCAATGTGGGAATCTTCTTAAACAAAATGAAACCTAACATTTACKCCTTAAACTACAGTCCAGTGGACCAGATGCTGCATGCATACCCTGATGGRTTTATAGTCTCTTACAAGGTTTTGTTTGAGTAAAAGGGGGCTGTTTTAAACAATAAAAAAGGCTTTTAGGAGAAATGTATTGCAAAGCACATGATTAGTAATAGTTGACATCATAACATTCAACTAACTGTACTTGAACCTAAATAGGCTCAGCTTTCTTCACTGGGTCTTCAATCACTAACACTCAGTAAATCCAGAAATAAATAATGTAAAGTACTACAAGCTCTAATATTCTTTTGATCTGAAATGCTTCAATGCGAGGCAGTCAAGCTTTTAGCCATGCAGCACACTCTAGTGGTGAAAAAGATTCATAGCTGCTTCTGAATCCTCATGATTCACCAGAACTCCAAATTTTCATGCATGCCATCAACTACAGGCTTAACAACCAAATATTGACAGAATCATTGTGGAAGTTCAGCTGCACTCATGCTATATTACTTATTATGTTCTATCTTGTCATCAGTGTAGTTATCTCCAGTAGTTATCAATAATAACTCAGTTTATCAATGGGCCCGGAGAACCGATTGAAGCGWTAGGGCTCCCAAAACCACAGAAAACCAACAAGAGATGTTAAATGTGTTTTATCACCGCCACAACGCGATCGGGGTTTTATTTCAAATTAAATTAAAAGAAATATTACAAATAACTGATTAGAGTGGATTACAGGTTTTGTTCTTGACAGGTAATTAGCTCAAACTTAAACAGCCAAGTACTAAACAGGTTAACAGATTTATTTCTAATTAAAACAGATAAACCAGCTTTAATTAACTCTATACTTTAAACCCAGAATGAGTTTTGTGTGTGTGTGTGTGTGTGTGAGAGAGAGAGAGAGAGAGAGAGAGAGAGAGAGGAGTGACGAGGGTCAGACAGAGAAAGATTTAAAGAGAGGTTTTAAAGAAAGGACAAAGAGCAAGAATGGAGAGCTAACTTTGGTTATGTTTAATTAATTCAGTGAGTGCCTTTGGTGAGCCAGATGAGGCCGGGTAGATCTCGGTCCAGCTAACTTCAGTACCTCTCATCAGAAGACCCTTTCTCTGCTGGCTCACCTCTGGAAATGAGTAGGCGACAACGCTGCCGGTCCAGTCAGACACAGGTTAAACCATTTTAATCTCGGACAGTGGAGAGGTTGACAAAGGTCAAAGGGTCAACCTCAGGGTCAGGATGTTCCACTATCAGAGTTGTAAAGCAACTTAGACATACTTTGTAACTGTACTTTGAATTGTTGGGTATCTGTATTTTACTTGAGTAATTATTTTTCAGCCTACTTTTTACTTACTTGTTACATTTTCTCATAATTATCTGTACTTTCTACTTCTTACATTTTTAAAAAAGACAAGAAGTAGAAAGTCGTTACTTTTATTTCATTTTTGCTTGTTTTCATTCCAGCTTGTTATTGTAAAAAATAAATAGTATCTATTGTGCCTCCTAGATAGAGTGAATTTAATTGTGGTTGAAAAAGGTGGACTAACAAGAGACAAAAGTCAAAATAGGAAAAACGACAGTAAAACTGATCATGAGGATCTATTAGACAGCAATTTTGGAGAAAAAACACGTCTTTTATTGTAATTTTTAAGTAAATTTAATGCAATAAGAGAACTTAAATGAATAAATGAAAAGTACATGAAAGCATCAAATCAGAAGTGAGCCTGATAGGTCAGAAGGTATCCATCGTTGTACATGTAGATCTGCCTGTCCAGGGGGTTGTAGCTCAGACTGGCCACTCCTTTAGCTATCTTCTGCATCGTCAGTGAAAGTGAGTTCTCTTCTTTCCCCGAGGCTGTGTCGAAGGCATAGAACACGTCCTCCTGGTATTCGTCCACGTATCGAGTGGCGTACAGCACGCCGCACACCATGAAGGCGTTGCTCACTGCCCTCTTGAACAGCCTCGTCTCCCACGTCTGCGACACGTTGAGAGTCTGAGCATCATCGTCCCAAACCAGCCTACTCACCACAAGGTTGCCGTGATTACCCAGAGTGGCATAGATCGCCCACAGTCCGGTCTCATCTGCCTCCAGGTCCACGTCGCTGTTAGCGCGGCAGTCATAGTAACAGTAAGGGAACTTGTTGTTGAAGCCCACACCGGTGCCTGGAAGCGTCACCCGTTTGACAGTGTTTGTCTTCAGGTCGTAGCGGCAGATGTCTGCAGAGCGGTAGCAGTGATAGTACAGAGCCTCTCCGTACAGGACAGCACTGGGACCCTCAATGGAGTTGGTGTGAGTGTGAGATGGAGCCAAGGTAAAGTCCTTGTGGTTAACAGAAGCTATGAAGTCTGTGTAGGTTTGGTAAACCCGCAGGGTGTTTCCATAGATATGGCTGTTGACCAGAGCTTGAACCCAGTAGCTGTTCTTTTCCCCCTCGCTGTCCATCTTTGCCTGCTTACCCCACGAACCTGAGATGTAGCTCTTACCGTACGGACTGACTTTGGTTGTGACGGGCTCACTGATGCCTGTGATCAGACCCTTCAGGCAGTATGAATGCTGGCCTACAACACAGGGTGAAAACATTTTAGCATTAGGTTTACTGGACATAAGGATTTTTTTTGCTTTCAAAAGTGTATTTTAGCCTACAGACTATTATGCTGCTTTAATATGGCCCCCGCACGGTCATATTGTTTTCGTACTGTTTATTTTTATTTATTTATTTATTTATTTTCTGTGAATTTTGGTCAAACGTAGCATGGAACTCGATCAACATGAAATTTGTCCGACCTACACTGCACCAGCCAACAATTTTAAGGTAGACCCCATATTTCAGGAGGGGGCTCCGTCTAAAATGGGGGTGTCTGGACATACAAAATGCTTATAACTCAAAACTATTCAACATAGGAGCTTTAGATTTTTTTATTTAATTTATTATTATTTTTTATTAATTTTAATTTTAATTTTTTTGTTTATCTCTGGTGAAGGGCTATCCATTGGGTCCACCAATGAGCCCCCCAAACCCCCACTCCATCTGAAAAAGGGGGCTCTGGACTTAAGAAAAGGCTTACAACACAAAAACTATTCAACCTAGGAGCTTCACATTTATTTCTTGTTTAGCTCTGATTAAGGGCTATCCATCGGGTCCATCAATGAAACCCCCCCAACCCCCTCGGACCCCCACCCAAAACAATAATCACATAATGAGTGATGTCAGCAAATATCTTGTACCTCTGAAATCTTTGGGGATTGTCTTGCAGGACTCCACACTGTTCTTTAGGTAGCGCAGATTTTCTTTCACAGTCTTCATGTTAACCGTGTCGGAGACTTGCATCCTCTCAACAGTTGTACGCAGTTTACTCACCTAACATACACACACACAAATACACACGGTGAACGTAATATCCATGAATGAAACTGTATATTTCTGTAGTTTGCTGTACCTCTTTGGAGAGTTTCTGTGTCTGGGCATTGTTCATCTGTGAGTGAGTCATACTGATGTCTGCCTCCAGCCGGCTGAGCTCCTGGCCCAGCAGGCGCAGAGACAAAACTGTGTACAGACCCTTGTGAYGAAGGTACTGAAAGGGCTGCAGTCGAGCGGTCATGTTCTCCACCTGAGCCTGAATCTGAGGAAGACGCTGGATGGAGACCGTCAACTGCAGAGAAACAAACAAGTGTATTTCTCTGTCAAGTCTCTGAAACTCTGTCTGGATCAAACGCTGCAGCTGAACTGCATCTATGAGATTTTAACTTTGATTTAAACACTTTAGACAAAACACAAATCACAGTTCCTCTTCAAACAATCGAACTACAATAACAATACACAGAAAACACATTAAACAATATTAAAACAAGTAAGCAGTAAGCATTCTGCTATTTTTAGCTTTTAGCTACAGTGATTAAAACTCATCATAAACAAAAAATATATATTTTAAGTAATGAACTTTTGAAATATTTGCTTACTTTCTATTTGTAAATTTGAAAAACTCAATTCTTTTAGTCAGTGCAAATCTATCTGAAATGAGAGTAATTTACAAGCAGTAACGATGAAGAGTTTCTACCTGTTCCTGCAGACTGCTCAGAGATTGATCACAGKTCTGAACCTCCTGCAGTACGGCCTCGTACTCCAGAACAGGAAAAGACCACGCCGTGGAGTTGACCTCACACTGACACGCATCGTCCTTCTTCAGGCCGAGCACACGCTGAGCCTGGCCAGCTTCCTGCAGACACACACACTGAACCTGTGATCTACAGCTGAAGCCTTATCACTTTGTAAAGAATCAAATGAGAAAGATAGAAAATCTGATTTTCATGTCATAACTCTTTATATTTTCTTTCAATTTTAAAGATTAAAGTTAAAGTTTAACTCACAGTGGACGTCAGGAGCAACAGCAACAGCAGCATCATGTTTACAGAAGGAGAGGTCGACACAAAATACCTCCTTCTTCCCCACTTACTCTGAAATACTGCCAACAGGCCCTCTGGTGTTTGACACACGTCACCACAGAAACCTGAACGATTTCACAGGGATGTAAAACCCACAAAAATGAGAAACTGCAGAGTTTCACAAGACCTCACGAGTCACCTATTCCTCATTTATTTTCTGTAAATTTATTGCTGAACATCGGTAAAAATTCAAGTTGAAACTACATGACTCAGCTTCCCATCAACAAGAGGCTGAGAGAAAATCAACGGATTCCAGCTTCAACAAAGAAAACTTTGATTTAATAAAATTATGTTGTTTTGCTTTGTAGGTTCTAACCTTTGCACAAAGGTGTCAGAAACATTTAGTAATAAAAGGCCAACATTATTTAAATTAATGAAGTGCATATCAATCGACACATTTGAAGTTGGTATCGTGTTTTTGTGAGAAATTATAGAATGAGTTTTGGTTAAAATGTGAAATATAGTCATGCAAAATGTCATTCAATATTGCACTTTTTCACTATGAGAAAATGTGCTGGTAATGACCCTTAGCTATATGTTCAGTTGGCTGTGGTCACTACTTTGAATCCAGAGGTTTTTGGATGGATGGATGGATGGATGGATGGATGGATGGATGGACGGACGGACGGATGGATGGATGGATGGATGGATGGATGGACGGACGGACGGAAGGATGGATGGATTGGTGGATGGATGGATGGATGGATGGATGGATGGATGGATGGATGGATGGATGGACGGACGGACGGATGGATGGATGGATGGATTGATTGGTGGATGGATGGATGATGGATGGATAGATTGGTGGATGGATGGATAGATGGATGATGGATGGATGAATGGATGGATGGATGGATGGATTGATTGGTGGATGGATGGATGATGGATGGATGGATGGATGGATGGATGGATGGATGGATGGACGGACGGACGGATGGATGGATTGATTGGTGGATGGATGGATGATGGATGGATAGATTGGTGGATGAATGGATGGATGGATGGATGGATGGATTGATTGGTGGATGGATGGATGGATTGGTGGATGGAAGGATGGATGGATGGATGGATGGATGGATTGGAGGATGGATGTGTTGATATATGGATGAAGGATGGATGGATGGATGGATGGATGGATTGGAGGATGGATGGATGGATGGATGGATGGATGGATGGATGGATGGATGGATGGATGGATGGATGGATGGATGGATGGATTGATTGGAGGATGGATGTGTTGATATATGGATGATGGATGGATGGATGGATGGATGGATTGGAGGATGGATGGATGGATTGGAGGATGGATAGATAGATAGATGGATGGATGGATGGATTGGAGGATGGATGTTTTTCCTCAGCTGATAAGCTGTAAAATGTCACCATCTCCGGTAACCGGTTGAAACTCTGAACAATGAGAAACTGTGAAGTTTCAGAACAACTGTGGTCAACTCAGGACTCGTTCTCTGTTTTGTTCATCCTGTTGATTCAGAAACATCCCGAAGGTTTTCTTTTGAAAGGTATAAAACATTTAGAGTTTACCTTTCAGTTTCTCATCAACATGAACTTAAATGTGACCTGATGAACCTCCAGCTCCATCCCTTTCATTTGTCCTTTTATCCTTCTGCTTTACATTTTAATGTATGTTTAAATATAATTTCAGGTCACTGTGATAAAGAAACAAACCTCATTTAATTTGATCTCAGTTATTTTCATTCACTTGTACTTTATTTTTGGCTTTGTGAGCTTTTTTTGCAGATAAGTGAGMCATTTATAAATATTTTTGCACACCTGAATTTTTCTCAGCTGATATTTTTGAGTCCCCTCAAATATCTGTAATTCTTTTAATGGATGTGAAACTCAAAAGTTTGAAGAAACTATAGAGTTTTGTAACACCTGTGGTCAACTCAGGTGTTGTGAAACTGCTTCGTTTTGCAACAGCTGCGGTCAACTCAGGAGTCGTCCATTCCTCATTTGGTTCATGCAGTTTTTGTTTTTACTTTTTCAGAACATTTTTAGGTGTAGATGACRTGAGTTCTAAAGGTCAGATCACAAGAGCGCTTTGTCTTGCTACATGGGGGGAAAAATCACTTCCTTCATTACAGTTTCCCATCAATACTGACCCAGCATCACCCCAACTAAAGAACTGCTGAGTCCATCCATTCAGTTTTTGTGACTTTTGCTCATCTATTATAAAACAATAAAATTCCAGTTGGTCATCAATTAAAAAAACATAACTCACTTTATGTTTGCTTTGTAGATTTTATGATTGTACTTAAGTATCAGAGACCTTTACAAAGAAAATTATTTCTTTAATTACCTTTATACTGAATAATAA